GCATTCTGAGGTCGGCCTTCTCAACCTCCGGTGAACATGGTTAGACTACTTGTACCCATTTCAAGGTCTGTCCGACTCTTCCATTCCTCTTTCATTTCAAAACAAGATTTTCCTTTTTGCATAGATTAAAAAATGGGGGGGGGAGAAGGATCTGTTTTATCATTCATGTTCTAGCATAGCAATTTCAATGCCTGTGATTCCTGCAGGGGCATTCCCAAACCCTTGCAGGTTTGGTGGTCCACTAGATATCCAGCCTTGAGCGAATTCTAGGATTGTGCATCATCTGTGCCACGTTGTGGGGCTCTTGCCATGTTGCCTGCTGGGTCAGTGACACCTTTGACCCTGAGTCCTATGGGGTTTGTTTTCTGCATGTCACTCATCTAACAAACCCTTGTGATGATGCTCAGGATTTTTAGGCAGCGACCATTTTACGCTTAAGATTTTCTATTTAACAGCAATCTGGAATGTGTGGCTGGTTGGATACCCCGGAGTTACCCCAGGGGCCTCTTCAGAGAGCACAAGGAGCAATGGCACATGCATACTTTACATTTAAAGTTGTGTTTAGGGTTTCTTTTCTGCTATCATTTTTGCCATCACCAGGATAGGCACCCAGAAAGGTGAGCATATCAAAAGAAGCCACCGCATTTTTTAAGACAAGACACAAACCCACAAAATATAAAAATAACTCCCCTAAAATAAAACAAACCAAAACTTCGTCAAACCAGCACCCCCGCTCCTGGGGGGTGCTCCTCCTTCCCTGTCATTGGGGGGAAGGAGGGAGCCACCAGTCAGTTTTTGACCAATGTGTGCAAAGTGTTAATGTCACTTTGGTTCTGTGGTCATTTTCTTTTTATGTTTTTGCCCTGGAGGCGGTGTTCCTAAATGAAGGTGTGTGAGACAGGAGTTTTCTGTACCAGAGGTGCATGTGCTCAGGGTTACCTTCCCTGGGGCATTCAGGCAACACTTCCATCAGGAGGCTTCCTCACTTGTGTTGGTCCTCGCCCTTGGGGTAAGCTGAGGGCCGGGGGGGGGGTCTTGGGCTTTCAGTCCTGCCTTGGGTTTGGGAGTGATTTTTGACCAGTAGGGCACACTGCAATTGGCACTGCCTGCTCTTTAGCAAGTATTAGGCATGTCAATGTTTCTCGCAGGCCTGCTTGTTTGCCGCTGTTGAGTCCAGGGAGTTTGTTACTTCACTTTTAGTTTTGTTAGCATTTTATTCACTTCTTGTTTGGGGGGTTCAGCCTTTTGCCTTATTATGCATGACTAGTTCCTCCACACCCACTGGGTGTGTGCGGTGTATCACTCTTGCTGTCCCCTGGGTTTTCCTAGTGGCTTCTGGTGGCCTGGTATCCTGCATCGATAGGGTTTACCGGCGTAGCTGGCCCCAGTGCCTGAGCTTCCTGTAGGGCTCATTCACCCTGCAGATGCCGGAAATCCTCCATGAGCTCAGTTGTACAATGGTACAGTACCGCTTTTGAGCCCACTCTCGCCTTGAGCAAATTTGAGGGTTGCACTGGTTCTGCCTCCACTTTGCTGTTTGTTGAGTTGATGACACCTACGACCCTGAATCATATGGGACTTGTTTCCCTCGTGTACTCACATTCACCCATTCCTTGTTGACCATTCCAAGGTATCACACAGCAGTCACATTGCATAGGTGTTTGTGTTGGCACATGCTATACTGTATTGTGTGCCCGGTATGAAGCTCCGAATCTGCCCTGCTTGGTGTTTGGGGATTTGGATTTGAGGGTGTTAGTTAACGCGACCATGGTTCCATTCGCACCCTTCTCTTCCTTCTTTAGTGGGCTTGGTTTGCCCTTCTCCCTTCCTCCCTTCCCCATGCTTCTGGCTCCGAAGTGTCTGAGAATTTTGCAATCGGGGCAGGGTTTCACTCGGATTGTGGCTTGGAGGTAACTCTGGAGGTTGAGGGGAACGAGGACAGTTGAGCCATTCTGTCCTGCCAAGGTTCCCGAGTCTTTCAAGTCGACTCCCTCTTTTAAAGCCTTTCCCTTGGACCCCACCTTTTCTTCACACACAGTGGGCATGGATGAGGGTTTGGCCCTAGAGTCTTTGTCGACTATTCACGGGGCTTGGCGAAGGGGTAGGAGTTGGAATGGAGTTCTTGGTCTTCTTTTGACACTGTTGGGTCATTGTGCCCTCTGAGCAGGATCTGCTTTTACAGGATAAGGGGTTTTGTATCTTCCTTCCCTTTATGAGTTTGAATTGGGTTTGGCTCTTCCCAGGGTTCAGTTTTTGGGTGCTTTTGGACTCCCTGGATTAGTCTTTCTGGAGATTTTCTTTGTCATGTGTTTCTCCTTCGAAAGAGGCCCCTCGGAGGCCTCTTACATCCTGCATGACTCAATTTACACCTCGGTGATAGATCCAGCCTCTTTTGAGTTCAGTTCTTATTCCTCTTACTGGGTGTGTTACGAAATTCCGGAGTTGTCCTGGCTAGCGAACTTTCCTTTGTTTTTACTTGATGCTTGACATGGCTTTTGCCATTCCCGTACGCTTGAATGGAGGGATGTGTCCTCTGTTGTAGGTGTTTTGGGGAGGCTCTCTTGAGTCCCTCAGTGAGTGCCTCTTCGCCCCTGCTCTTTCCTACGACGTGGGTCTTATGCATCTGCATACTCAGGTGCCCTTTCTTTCGACTTCTTTGGTGCCAAGTGTGGACTCGTGCACACTTGGCCTCTGTCATGTGTTCCTTGAGCTTCCTGGAGCTGTCTTCGGATTGGCTTTCAGAGGATGTGGGGACGCTTGGTGTGGGGCCTTCTGCCGGGGGTCTTTATCTCAGCTCCTTTGGCATCATCTGCCTTGTTTAAGCTGTATGCTCCGATCCTCCGAGAGGCTGTTTTCATGTTCTTCACCTCCCATCTCATGTGTCTGCAGGCTGTGCTGGGTCTTCTTTCAGATTTTCCATTTTGTCCTTTCCCTTTTCCTGGTGTCAGTGTTGCTTGGTTTTTGTTGGCGGCATCTGCTAGTTGCCGTCCTATTTCTGATATGTTGTGTGTCCGAGTGAGTTGTTCTAGGCCTTCCTGAAAGGGGTTGGGTCATGGCTCAGCCTGCAGTAGGTCGAGGTGGGACTGTGCTGACAGCAGCCGGGACGGTGGTAGTTGCTCCAGCAGCGTCGTCTTTGTCTGGTCGGCGAAGTGCTCGCTCTGCATGGAAGATTGGATCTTGGGGTTTGCGTCAGCCCTTTCACTAGTTGCTCCATTCAGTGGGTTTCCCCTGCATATTTCCTGTCCCGAAATGGGGCTGTGCGGATTCCCGGTACATTCTGGACTTGTCTTGCCTGAACTGGTTCATTCCTTGCCCCTTCTTTCAGACAACTATGTTTTCCCAAGTCCGACTTGTGCTTGAGCCAGGTGCTTGAATGATTTCCCTGGACCTCAAGGACGCTTATTGGCACATTCCCATACATCTGGTATTCAGGGATTGGTTAGGTTTTGTGGTGGGGAGACAGGCTTACTGCTTTCTGGCTCTTCCATTTGGGCTGATTCTGGCACCTCAAATTTTTACTTGTCTGACTACGGGCATGGTGGCACATGTTCGTCTACTAGGTCTTCGAGTCTTGGCCTAACTTGACGACTGACTGGTGTAGGCTCCCAACCAGTCTGCTTTTTTGCAAACCAGGAATTTGGTTCTTTCCCAGCTTGCTGGGTTCAGGTTTCTGGTTAACTTAAGGAAGTCCTATCTCGTTCCGTCCCAGGTTCGGACCTGGTTGGGCCTCATCTGGGATTGTCAGACAACATTGCTTTCCCTTTTCCCTGCAGCCTTGCTCCGGCTGCAGTCCCGCCATTGGCTGTTGCTGAGTGGGACCCTGGTGACTCGGTGGTTGCTCGAGCAGTTGTGTACAAGTCTAAACCTTGCCCTTTTGGTTTACCTGTTTGGCAGGGTTTGACTCTGGAGGCTGTTCTGTTATATATGGGGCAGCCTTGTTCACCTCTTTTGCAATCATTGTGCCCGGCCCCAGTGTCCCTTCACCAGTTGCTATGTCTCCGGCTTGCTCTTCGGTGACACTCTTTGGGGTTCGGTGCCATGGCACCTTCCTCCTCCCTTGCTCGAATGTTTTTACAAACACCTTGGCTGTAGGTTTGGGCTTTGTGACAATGACATGATAATTGTGACATCGTGACAATTACTCACGAGCCCGGCCAGGGTTGTTGGTGGCCATCCCTTCATTGGGCTCACAGCAAGGTGTAGGAGTTTGTGGCAGTGTGGCAGGCACTGCATAGGTTTTAGATTCCTCAGGGCTTGGTGATCCGGCCCTATTTGGACTGTTCTCTAGTAGTTCATTGCCTCAACCAGGAGGGAAGAGATGTGTCCAACGTCCTGGCCGATGGTCTGTCTCGCTTCATTTCCTTCTCCACAGAGTAGACCGTCGATGCCGATTCCTTCCACTGGCTTTGCCGGATGTAAACGAGCCCGGATGTGGACCACTGTCCGTCAGCCTAATCTTTCTCTTTAAGTGGGGCTGTTCCCTGACTGCAAAGCTCTTGCAGTGGACATTTTTTGGGAGAACTGGTCGAGGTGGGGGGTGCATTTACCTCTTTTCCCCGGTCCAGCTGTTGCTCTGGTGATGGTCAAGCACAATCGCAGGGTATTTACCTGGAAGAGAGAATTATTTGTTTTGTTTCTTTTGGGTGCCTAATTAACCTTTAGGCAGATACTTGTTATGCTATGTCTCTACTTTCTGGTGATTTCCTAGTTTTGTGGTTGATCTCGGACTCCCTGGCTCTTCTTGCTTCGTAGAGTAAGCCCGATCTTGTCCCAGCTTTTGGTAGGTGACAGTTGAGTTTGAGATGCTTGTTGGAGTTTGTACCACCAAGCCTTTGTGGTACAATAACTAAGCTCGGAGAGTTACTGGCCCACCAAGTTATTTCATTTCATTCAACACTTGAATTTTGCCTACTAATTTTCCATCCTTCCTGGTAGGAGTTTGCCTCATTCCATGAAAATAAGAAACATGCAAGTGATAATGATGAAATTTTCTTTGGCAGGAAAATAAATATGATGTTGGTGGTGGCAGAAGATTTGACACACTCAGCGAATTGGTTGAACATTATCGACGGAATCCCATGGTAGAGCAGTCTGGTACTGTCGTGCCTTTGAAAATGCCCTTTAATGCTACAAGGATCAATGCACGAGGCATTGATAGCAGGGTACGAGAACTATCGGTGAGTTTGGAATCCAAGGTTTTTCATTTTGAAACAAAATTAATGTATTGTACTGTACTTTTCCATATTATGATTTAACTAAGCTTTGGTCATCACATTAAATAAATTATAGTATTATGAAATGTGGCTTGTTTGTAACCATTACATTATTATGTAACCATTAGCTTTGTTAGTAAGCTTGTACTAACCATTATCCTACACACACACATACTGTAGCATAATTATTTATTTGGTGACGGGTCATATAGCGTCGACGCCAAACAAGCTTTGACCCGTCATTACAGAAGGAGCATCAGGGACCTACTATGGGAAAGGCTGGATTTTGGGAGGAATTTGAATCCCTGCAACAGCAAGAATGCAAGCAATTATACTCTCGCAAAGAAGGGCAGAAACCAGAAAATCGCAATAAGAATCGTTACAAGAACATTTTGCCATTTGATCATACACGCGTCATACTTCGAGATACTGACCCAGGCATACCTGGGTCCGATTATATCAATGCTAATCTCATCTCGGTAAGCACTGTTTTTATTTTTATGAATGCAAATATTTGGCTGTGACTTCGGCCAAGTATTTGCTATTTATATTTAGAATTTGTGCCTGTGTTAGCTCTTGAACCTCACTTTTTAACTGTTGTTTGTCTAATGTTCTGACTCTCGACCTAAATTTTCTGTCATATATTTACATATGACAGAAAACTACATTACTACAAATATTACTACATATATTTCTCACGCACCCACATTCCCAGGATTCTTCCTATAACATCTGTCTAAGTACCACATACCTATTTACTCCTAGGGTGAACAGAGGTACAGGGCAAAAGAAACTTTGCTTTTGTAATTATCTAAGCGTAATTAAAACTGAGTAGGCAGTGGATGCAAAAATCGTCAATACTCAAAGTTTCAATCCATCATATGACAGAGTACTAGGAAGACGGGACACCATGAGCGTAGCTCTCATCCTGTAACTACACTTAAGGGTTTTGAGGAGCATCGCCTAAGGCCATGCTCCTCAAAACAAGCAAGCATCCAAGGCCATGGGTTCTAAGAGAATGCTCACCTGAGCTAAGAATTCCACTTAACCCTTACACTGCTACAGCCTGGGCTGTAAATGGGGGAATATAAGCTGGGACTGGGCAAAAAAAATATTTGAATTATGTGAAAATTAATATTAAATGTTAAACAAATGTCCAACTTATTGGCTTCAGTGTCGTGAAAGTTTACTTGGTTGATACCTGGTTGATGGGGTTCTGGGAGTTCTTCTACTCCCCAAGCCCGGCCCGAGGCCAGGCTTAACTTGTGAGAGTTTGGTCCACTAGGCTGTTTGCTTGGAGCGGCCCGCAGGCCCACATACCCACCACAGCCCGGTTGGTCCGGCATTCCTTGGAGGAAACAATCTAGTTTCCTCTTAAAGATATCCACGGTTGTTCTGGCAATATTTCTTATGCTCGCTGGGAGGACGTTGAACAACCGTGGGCTTCTGATGTTTATACAGTGTTCTCTGATTGTGCCTATGGCACCTCTGCTCTTCACTGGTTTTATTCTGCATTTTCTTCCATATCATTCACTCCAGTGTGAGATTTTTTTTTTTCTTGACAGGTTATCAAAGAAATTGAGTCCTATGGATGTTACGTTAATCGCAACTACCTCGCAAGAGAGGCAGACCTTAAACAGCAAGAGCTGCCAGTGGCAGATATTTAATCTTTGCCAGTGGCAGATATTTAATCTTAAAGCCTAAGATCATAGGACCGCGGGAGCAAACCGCCAGGCGAAACCACACGGGTAACACCTGTCACTTAGGTCGCTGGCTCCTTCTAGTTAACAAACTAATAAAGGGTAGCCGACGGATTCTCACCTCTTATTTATAGAAGTGTGGTGCTGTGCAATGGACTCGAGCTTTAGATACAGACTTAATATGAACATAAGCAGGCAAAGCGTTGCAGAACATGAAATGTGGGGCAGTAAAATTGGAAGGTTTGACGTAAACGACCGTTTCTATAACAAAACAATTTATTCACAAAAACAAGAACTAAAACTACTACACAGTGAATTTACGTTACTTTACTGTCACTCCAGTGGCACATTAAAGTACAGCTAATCAACAGCCTGGTGGACCCACGGTCTCCTTATCCCGTCGTCGCTGACTGAACAATGACACTAACTGAACAAAGTGGTGCCCACTGGTGACGCAAGCTTGCAATCAATATTGTCACGGCTTCACGGTGAGCAATACTATAATCACAAAAACTTGACTGGCGCTCGCTGCCCACAATGAGATACCAAGTAACAAGGCGGTTAATCCAAGAATGATAACCCCTTATAAAAAATCTTACGTTAACACTTGTCTCTCAGGACAACCAAAGTTACTCTAATTGAATTTAAACAATTACGTTAATACACACGTGTCACAACGACACTTAAATGGCATCAATAACTCGTAAGTCAATTAATTACATCAACTTGAAAGTCAAGCATTCGGTGAGTAATTCCCAATTAATTACTGAATACAACAGCCTATTAATTCAGACGAGTATTGATAAAGCCTACTGTCTCTCAACTGACAGTTCACTTCCGGTCTTACGACAAGATTACCTTAACGAGGGTAGACGTTGGGTACCACACACAATGTTCCAATACTCCGTGTAAACAACAACATCAACACCTGGTGAATTCACTAAGTGGCGATTACTAATTATCTTTAATTAGCTACGAGTGCTTAATCACTCTGTCCGCAGACAGAGCTGATCAGTCCAACGAATTACAACTGCTAATTACAGCGTGATTGACTCCGATCATACAGACCGTCAACCCCTTACGTTAATTACTCAATTAACGACAGCTCGTTAACTCGTTAACACTACGGTAGTCTTTACTTGACAATTCCTCCACTGCGTGAACTTCACTGTGACAGTTGCCTTACGTTAATCACAACAATGTTCAACGAACAAGTGACCTCGTTAAGTAAATCGTGACCCCCGGTGACGTTAACTGACTTTAATTCTCACGGAATCCTTCACAGTACACAACGCCTTCCACCAAGGTCAAACTTGTCTACGGTTTACACACGGTACAACACAGTACATCACAGTACAACACAGTACACCCTTGCCACTCACGGCAAAACTTGTAAATGACTTCCCCCAGTAAATTATACACCAATAATTCACACTCTACCACAACACAACAGTAAAATATATAACCAAGGGAAATCTCCCTGTTACCACTTTTCACTGCTGAAAAAGGGAATCAAATTACAGCGAATACATACACATAGAAAATTAACATGGAAGTAAATAACTCACTTTACCTCTGAATGTGTCACTAGGTGTCTTCACACACGTCATAAATCACAGTTGGGCCCAATCCTCAACTTGATGACAAACAGGGTAGACTCACGTCTCCAATTCCCATTCACCTCCCCAGGTGGTCCCAGGGACAGAGGACAGACGGAACACTGGGGGCGAACCCAGCTTCAGAGTTTTATTACCCAAACGGAAACAGTGTACTTACATTAATGATGTGGGGCCCCTCTTTCACTCACACATACACGTCAATCACACTCCCACTGCTGCTGCTGGATGATGACGTAGGCGTCCTCACTTCCTACACGTGGTCAAGGTGGAGCACAGGGTCCCAGACCACGGGGTGTTAGCTCTACACACACACAGAGACCAGGATGGCGCAGATACACCGGCTCAGGCAAGCTAGAGTTGCACACAACAGCAGGGATGCGGTACCACGCCCTTCCACTTGGCACGGTACCCCAGGATACGACGGTACACGGTGTTACGACGGTACACGAGATGGAGTCCTTCACTGTTCCTCAGAATTATAACATTTAAGGTTTCTCTCTCTCACTGAAACCCTTTCTAGCACGTCTCACAGCAGTATCTTCAAGCACAGATACGATCGACGGCGGATGTCGCTTTTGTAGCCCGATAATTAACGCCTCACTCACAGTCCAGTTCCTCTTAGATGGCGTCCCACAATTACGCGGCTAGATGACAAGTTCACACGGCTCGATACAGGCCTCTCTCCGCTTACCGGATTCTTACGCACGGCACACGGAAAGATAGCAAGATGTTGGCGTGACTTTAGCAACGTTGCAGGCGGATATTTCCAGATGCTTGGCCTAGCACGGAAAATACGTCGACAGGGTACAACGTCCAAGGTAAGAATGTCGTTTCCCGCCAATACCATGCCTGGGGTACCATGCGGTACCCCTCATCGTCTTGGCCAATCACGGTTCAGCATTTCTGAGGCCCAGGCCCTCAGCCAATCGCGCACCTGCTCCACGACGCTACCCCCACTCACACACGAGGTGGACACGTGATAGGGGGGGGGGGGTCTATGGCCGTTAACCCCCCATACCTCCCTCTCGACACTTGACTTGTACAAAAATTCCCTGAAATCAACTCCCTCCTGTAATTTCCTTCACAGACCTGATACAGCGATCAGGATGACATCAATGGCTAGCAAATGTCATGGGCTGTCCAACGACACCCAACACGACTGTGGAAAAGTTATATACAGAAAGTTGAAACACCGTGCACATCACCGGTGCACTATGCAAATTCGTACTCAATTCAGTGCACGAGAGAGCAGGGAAAATATGTCCCCTGACATCCAGTACGTTGTTATTTTACTGTGTAGATTTGGCACTTGGCCCTCCAGTATCTTCCAGGTGTATATTATTTGATATCTCTCTCGTCTTCTTTCTAGTGAGTACATTTGGAGGGCTTTGAGACAATCCCAATAATTTAGGTGCTTTATAGCGTCTATGCGTGCCGTATATGTTCTCTGTATTCCCTCTATTTCAGCATATAGTTTCACCCTCTAGTTTCATTCCAATATTTTCAGAAATGGATTTTAGACAATTTTTTTTTAAAGAAGAACTTTTGTTGATAAGGAGAACAGCTCCTACTAACTGGAACTAAGGGATAATGCAGTAATAAAGAGATGCAAGCACATCTCTGATGCACAAAGAAGAATAATAATAGAAGTATCCACAAAGTGGATATGCAGCTGGTGCTTTTATTGCATTGCTGAGTAATACATAATTACACCAATAATAATGAGTATGTATGTTATTATGCTTTGTTTTGTTATATATCATACAAATACATTGTCCAATTGTAAAATCTGTTACTTTCACCAATGTCCAATTTTTTTTTTTTAATGGAGAATTTTTTTTTTATTTGTTTATTATCTGATTTTGTTGTAACCTCTACATCCTAGAGAGTGCATACCTGTCTCTAATTATGTGAAGATAGAATTAAATTGGTCAACAAATAAAACAAGTCATAACTGGCAGAACTTGGGACTTTGAATTTTTTCTGAGGGGAGCCCCTATGGCTCCCTGAAACTTATGGGGCTAATGTATGTTACCTGGTTGATACCTGGTTGATGGGGTTCTGGGAGTTCTTCTACTCCCCAAGCCCGGCCCGAGGCCAGGCTTGACTTGTGAGAGTTTGGTCCACTAGACTGTTGCTTGGAGCGGCCCGCAGGGCCAC